AGATGGGACTCGGAGGAGGCCTAACCGGTGAGATCTAATAGGTCATGTGGAGGTAATTGGCAGTAGGATAGAATCTGAATAAGAACAGATCTACCAAAAACAGTCTCTGATCATTGCCTAGACATTGCATTGAGCAGAGGGTATCCATATTCACGACTGCTCAAATAGCTGAGGACAACATATATTAATTTAATGTTGGTTGTTGAATCAAGGACAAGTGTCAATGGAGATTCTCAGTCATCCAGGTCATGACTCTTCCAAAGGTGCTTTTTCAAAAGGCAACTGGACTTTCTTTGTTTTTCCTTGAAGATGTTTTGCTTCTCATCCAAGAAGCTTCTTCAACTCAGAGCTGAATCGGAACTTTCCCAATCTCCCATCATGGCTTTGATCATTCCGATGCTTTTTTTTTTTTTAAACTAAGAGTGAAGAAGCATACTGTTCCTAGCCTAACCCATATCTTGTACCACACAGTTTTCCTTGGTAAGTGTAAGGATGGTTACAATCCCTTCTGGCATATGCCGAGCATTCTCAGATTATTTTGTGAAAGGGTGAATTTCTAATCAGAGACTTAAGAAACCGGACAACATATTGCTGGCTTCCTCTTCAGCCCCGATGACGTTACCTAGTTGGGTAATGAAACATCTTCAAGAAAACAACCAGCTTAGAGAGCATCAAGATTCTCACAATTCAATCATGAGCTACAACTATTATCTCCTATTGGTTCCTCCCACCAATTTGACAGATATGCAGGGCAGACAAGACATTAATTTGCCTTTGGATTTTTGAGACTTAACTAGCAAACTCTGAGCACAAACCTTGCTGAAAGCAGCCATTAATCCTGCATAACTCCTATGAAAATTACATTTGATTCCTGAAATTTCCAAACGAAACCAGAAACATAAAACCGCTTTCCGGTCTGTTTAAAACGCCCGGCCGCTCAAAGCTCAGCATGACCGCGTTTCGCCAAAGAGCTGGGGGAACACCAATCGGGCGGCCGCTTCGAGACACTCTCGAGTTTGCGCCCGGTGCGATTTCTTTGGTGCTCACCGCACCGGAAGTGGTGGGGAGCCGAAGGCCCGGGGGTGGGTGGGGAATGGTGGTGGTGCTGCTGCTTGTCGTGGCGGCGGGCTCGGGCTCGGGATGAGCTGGAAGACGCGGTGGGTCCCTACCCCAGAGCGGTCGCCCCCGGGCGACGGCGACCAGTCGCCGCCCCCTTCGAGCTCACCACCCCGGGCGGTGTCCCCGAAGTCGCCCCCGGCCTCTTTTACTTCCACCGCCCCGGTCTCGGCTCCAGGCGGGGGGCTGTTCTCCTGGGTGCGGGAACGGGGTCTGGGCCATGGGGGCCGCTGCGTGGAGCCGGCGAGGGACACTTTCCGTGCCATGACGAGGCTCTATGGTGCTATTCAGCCCGCCGATTCTGTGTCCCCCATCACCCGCACCCACGGCGCCGTTTTCAACCTGGAGTACTCCCCTGGCGGGTAAGGATGGAGAGAAGGGTTGCTTTGGGGTGCCTCGACCTCCTCGTTTGCGTGGGGTGCGAGAGGTCTCCGTTTAGTGCCGGGCTCCGCGGCATATTTTTGCAATTTTAGCTGCAGGTTGAATTATATCCACGCTTGCAAACGAAGAATTGTGTCTCCATTTTTATTCTTCGTCCCCCTGAATTCAGTACAATTGTAATAGATGTTGCCTCTCTTCTCTCCCCTCCCCCCCCCGCTGTAGTTTGCACGTAAAGTTATGAGGACATACTAGAATTGGGCAAGCAACTGCGCAAGGCCTGAAGTGTTTGCAATTAGGGAAATGGGGACAGAGTAGCAATAAATGAGATAAGAATGGACGGGGCACCTAGTAGTCGGAAGTCAGTTGGTGTAATGAGAAAAATATGTACTTTATTGCAGGGGTCACCAACCTTTCGGACTTCAGGGACCACTAAATCCATAATTTTAAATCCTGCAGACCACTAATATGAATTTTTTGAAAAGATACATAGTATTTAATGCAATATAAAACATGCAAATAATTTTTCTGTGGACCACCATTTTCTTGCAGATCACCAGTGGCCCATGGACCAACAGTTGGTGACAGCTGGTTTAATGTATATCAAATATCTCAAGTTCTATTAGTCTTCCATCCACTAATGTTAATTTGCTGTTCTTTGAAGCTGTCATGTACAAATAGAAGCTTTCACACCTTTTTTGTGTAATTGTTTCCTATCCTTATGTTCTTTTTAAAGATGAATGTATGATTTAAATAGCACATGAAAAGCTGAAATGTATTAACAAAAAATCCACACTTTTAAAATAAATATTCATGGGACTCATCATAATTGATAGGAATATTGCAATGTGCTGCTCCAAGGGAAAACTGCAATTTTTTTTTTTTTGCTGTACTGCATTTATTATAAGCTCAAAGGAAACTAAAGTAGGAAAAGCATAACTTCTGAATAATGATTTATTGATGGTGGTGGTGCTCTTTAGTCAGTTTTTGACTCCTGATAACTGCCTGTCTTTGNCTTTTTTCATTATTCAATATTTCAATATGCACTTCTAGCATCAATCATGATCTTTCAAGCATTTATCCTAGCTTTTCACTGTTAATCACATTTTATACATATTTAATAATACCCTTATACAAATTCTGTTTATCTAATTTACCAATGGAAATAATTCAGACTGAATTCAGAACTGAAGAAGCTCCTTGGATGAGAAGCGAAATGTCTTCCTCCAGGAAAAAACGAAAGCCCAAGTTGCCTTTTGAAAAAGCACCTTTGAGTTCGCCCTTTATTTACTCTTTTCAAGCAACGCATTAGACTCTAAGTAGCCCCGAACAGCATTACAGAAACAATCAGAAGAGTAATGATTACGATCAGAAAATATACCGAGCGAGAACCACAGGCTTTGGCCCTACGATGCAACACAGGACAGCTGGGCTTTGAGAGGCGTGCTCGCAATGATATCATAAAGGAGGCGGGTTTGGGGAGACGCCATCGGGCATGCGTGCTTCCTCTCGGCTCCAAGACCCACTGAAGGCTGGCGTTTCGGATTGCTGGTCCTGTTTTTCGCAAGGGTATCATGATCAAGCGTTTTCTCCTCTCCGGCTTCCTCCAGCTCCACCGCTGTAGTGGCGGCTCCGTTTCGGTGAGTAGAGCTCCCCCGGTGCCCCCCCCCCACTTTCCCGCAGCCCCTTAATAGTTTCACCCTCCTCGCCTAGGAAACGGGCTCTCGGGGGTTTCCTGGAGCGGCGCTTGCTGGACCTAATTCAACAGGGGGCGCTTTCGGCCGGGGAGCCGTGGGAGATGATGGGGTTCATCATCCCTTTTATATTTATACCGTTAGTGTGGTAGGTCAGAGGGAGGAGGCTAAAGGGAAACTTGCAGCTAGCAGATCTTCTGTAATTGTGGGTCCAGTGATTAATTCAAATGAACTCTGGAACTCTTTCTTGTGAAATGGCCTATTGCAGGGTTCTCTCTCCTGTTTGGAGAAAAGCACAATCTCGCTTATTGGACGCCTTTTCCAATAGCTCCCCCCCCTCCTTTGTATCGTTCAGAAAATATAAAATTTCCTGAGTATGGAGGAGGCCATTAATTCACCAAAGCAGAGAGAATCAAAAGCAACTGGCCTCTGACAGAAATGTTGAGGAGGAAAAAAAGAGATGCAGCAGCTCATTGCATATAGCTGCTTCCCCCCCACCTCTCTCTTCCTTTCTCCCTCCCTCCCATCCTTTTTTCCTTCCCTCTCTCCCTGCAGTACACACACATACACCTGACTATCCAAAGTGAGATATTTCCTCATTTATTTAGTGTCTTCATAGCATCATCCCAACTATCAGTGAAATGGTATAAAGCTGTTAGTTACTGTTGTTTTGGCACAACTCCAGGGGACATTATGAATCCCTTGTGAGAAAGTGACAAACACTTGAAAATCCCTTGTGAGAAAGTGACATAGTGAATCTCACAATATCACTGCTTTCTAATTTCATCTGGTCTTTATGTCAAAAAAAATCTCTATCCATTCAGAATTCGAACTTCTCTGGAAAAAAAATCAGAGTTCAGCAGTTCCTTCACTTCTATTTTTTAAGAGTTTCAAAATTGGTAGATATTTGGGCATTTTTCTGTTTCGTAGCCCTTCTGCTTGCTTTCTCCTCACGTATTCCTAACTAGAGTTGCTCCAACAGTAAGATGGGTGGCATATAAACTTAATAAAGAAATAAATATTATGCTCTAAACAGAACAGAATCTAATCCTGATCTGTTATTGCAGAAGGTAAGGTTATCCCAAAAGTGGATCAATTGCTAACAATATCAGACCTTCATTTTTGAACATTCATGAAAAGCTAGTGAGGATTGAGCCTCACAAATAGCTGAATTTAAGATGTGAATCTAAAGTAGTGATCCAAACACACATAAGGACTTCCATGATTCTCAACATCTTTAGCTAATGTATATTTTTAAAAATATCATACTCTACACTATTGTATACAGCATACGTTTAAAAAAGTATATATTTTACAGTAAACTCAGGTTTATCACTGGTGAGAGCATCTCTTCAAAATGATAGGTGGGGGAGTGCAGCAATCTCACTGCACTAGTTTGAAATGCCTATTTAGATCTTGTACCTGCAGTGATACTGAAGCTCTTAAGGACTGTAACTGTGTTTTAGACAATCAAAAGTTCAAGTAATCATTTAATATTCCATATTAATGAAAGTTTTTTATTTTGTTCTGTATTTTAGTTTCTTCCTCTCAGTGTATCAGGAAACTTATGGGGAAGATCCCAAAGTGTAGCACTGAATCATCCAAAAAGTACGGAAGGAGAAACTACTACTAAGGAGATTGGACGCTATCCAATACCCAAGAAGACAGATTTGCCATATGATATAGTGGAGCTCATGGAAGAAATGGAAGTAAAGGTAAAGATACCTTACTGGAACAATCCTGCCTATGCTAGTTTCCTTATTGTGGTACTATATTTCCTATCTTGCTTAACATTTTTCCCTTTGGCTCTGATACCTTCTGATGACTGTTTTGTCCATTATATCAGTGAAAGAGGCATCTGAAGGATGTTTTTTTTAGCAGGACATGAAATATAAAAATTCTCATTAAACATCTTATTCTAAGCATTAATGAATTAAGTGATGTATCTTGGATTGGATCTTAAGGCTATTGTTTGGAAAAAATAATATTTGATAGACTTTTTTAAAAAATCTGATAGCAGATAATTTTATTATTCCATGTAGCTAAGTGTGGTTAATGTGGTGCTCTAGATTCTTTCCTGCTAGTGACCTTTCAATTGGAAAGGACAAGACTTGAAAACTAGAGAGTTCTTTCTAGGAAAATATATGTTTTTCCATTGAGCCATTATTATTCTCCACTATCATCACTCTTTAATATTCAACCACAGGTAGTCCTTGAATAAACCATTCATTTATCAATCATTCAAAATTACAGTGGCACTGGGAAAAATTTATGACCTATCCTCATGTTTATAACAGCTGCAGCCTCCCTTCAGTCTTATGATCAAAATTCAGGCAGTAGGCCACAGCCATCATGTTCTTATGATGGTTGCAGCGATTCAGGGTTGTGTGGTCGCTGTATGCAACCTTCCCAACCAGCTTCCGACATACAAAGTCAGTGGGGGAGCTTGATTTGTTTAATGATCATGTGATTCACATAACAACAGCAATTATTTGCTTAATAACAGTAGCAAAAAAGGTTGTAAAATAAATCACAATTCACTTAACAGCCATATTGCTTAGCAACAGAAATTCTGGTCCCAGCTGTCGTAAGTTGAGGACTACCTGTACATGATCCAAACTAATTCTGCTTTGAAACTACAGTATCTGTGAATTGAAATAATACAGATGTTGGATAGCCTCATACATAAATGATGTCTGACTACTTTTTTTCTTAATTCTCAGACTGGGTTTTTGCCCAACGTGTTTAAGGTTATGTCTCATCGGCCAGCAGAATTTAGGGCATTCTTTGCCTATTACAATGCCATCATGAACAAAGAGACAGGTAAGAATACCTATCCGACACAGACTGATGGAAACTTTTTCCTGCTAAGAATCTCTTAAGTCACTTAGCGGCATTTACTATTCCAATATAGGTCCAACTTAAGAATTAGCTCAAGTTTTCTTTGACTATAGAACAGGAATCAGCCAATTACAATAACATCCATTAGCTTTCATTTCCCTGAAGAATCTCTAATAGTTACTATGGACCATTGTTATATGAAACATGGTTTTCAAGTAATTCTTGAAACAAGATTGATGATGATGAGCCTTCAATGAAAATAAAAGGTTTCATAGAATTTCACAATATACAGCAAAGAATGGTTTATAGGTAGTCCTTGACTTATGTCCACAAAATGAGCCCAAAACTTCTGTTGTTCAATGAGACATTTGTTAAGTGAGCTTTGCCCTATTTTATGACCATTCTTGTCATAGTTGTTAAGTGAATCACTGCTTCCCCATTGATTTTGC